AACGGGAAAGGGCTTTTGAAATAAAAAAACCACATTTAATCAAAACAAAGGAAAATAGGCTCAATAAATCAGATTTGGGTTTAATCCATTCCTGTGTAGTAATTCGGAATTGTTGCGTGATTATGTCCTTGTCATATATTATGGATCTATGTATAATCATCTCAAAGCCTCCCTCTTTTATTGCCTGATCACTCCAAGGTCAACCACAAGAAAAAAGCTACTGAAAAACAACAACAGCGATTTCAAAATGCAAATTTAAACCTTCTATTTTTGTTATTTAAATCTTCTATTTTTGTGGTTCTTCTTTTTTGTTCTTCTAATTTTTTTTTTTTCTTTTTTTTGTTACCTTTTTTTCTTCTTTTTTGGTTTTGCAAATCAGTGCCTGTGCACTTCCCCTGCAAGATCCCTGGTTATGCCGCTGAACTCAATCATTTTGGCATGAAAATCTTCAGTTTTAGCCAAGAATGCTCGATCCAATCCAGACAAGAGTTTAAACAAATGCAACTCGTTTTGTACAAATAATTTTTGGTTCCATTTGTCTCGGGGGTTTCAACTTCTTGGCGCTAGAGAAACCGCAATGACTATTAATAGCAATGAACTTGAAAGGTTTGAACACTTTGATGTCAGCTTTAGTCTTAAGGGGATGGCAAACCGGGTCGTGTGGTTACATCAATTAGCGTTATATCTGGAAGACGACTGTCATGTCATAATGTCCATACTTCGTGGTAGGTTGACAAGGTAACAAAAGAGATCGTCTCTCTTGGCAAAAACTTCTTTAACTGCGAACATTTCTATAGGTTTTATGAATAGATAAATAAATAAGATAAAAACTAAATGTAACTCTTCTTTGTAGCGAGAGAATGATTTAGGATTTATCAAGGTAATTGATCGATGTGTCGAGGTCTGTGCGTTGAAGGCAACGGAAATACAATTTGAAATAAAGATAACGTCCGACAACTAGTGTGACAGCAAGCTATTAACTACTTTATCACAGTACCAAAGAATGCTCAAAATCAGAAGCCAGAAAGTAAGAACATCTTTTGGTCCATATATTCAGAAATAGGTATGTAGCTGTGATTAAAGAAAGAGAATAGGAAATAAATAAAAAGAGTAGGAAAAAAAGTGAGAGATAGTAGAATGGGAGATCAAAATTGCACACATTTACGCAGCTTCTTTAAGAAAATGGTAAAAAATTGAAGAAGCTATAATAGGAATTCAAGGTAGTGCTAAACTTACTCACTGTTTCTATATATAAATATGATTATTCATAAGTAGTACGCGGTTCAATGTTTACACCACTAATATAAATTATACCAAAAAAGAAATGAATGAATGTGTGAGAAGTGGAAGGATGGAAGTAAGAATAAGAGATCAATTGAGGAGGGGAAAATCAGTGAAATTTCCTAACGGTGGAGTTTAAAATTTACTTAGTTTTTGATAAGCTATCTATTTTGGTTATTGATGTTGGTAACAGAATAAAATGGGAATGGGAAAGAAATAGAAATCATAGCGGAAAAAAAAAAGGAGACGAAGACAAAACGGGCTATCTAAGGGAGTTATCATTATTTATCGGGGGGGGGGGGGGAACCAAATTTGCATTGAATCCTGTCAAGAAAATAGAGGCCCTTCCTTGAAAGGCAAAGAAAAAAATGTATATCCCTTAAATAGGATATAAAAAATTATGACCCTCCCAAAAAATGTATATACCAGAAATCCTGATGGAAAAAATATTTTATTAACATTTCATTTTCTTAAGTCAAAAAATTGTGGCCCTCCCTACGCCCATTATTTAAAAAAAGCAACCCTCCCCAAACACACATTCAAAAAAATATGGCCCTCCCCACGAATTTAGTGGCCCTCCCCTCCGTTAAATAATGATAACTCCCTAACTGCAGAGAAAACTACTCACAGCTTTTGATTAGATGCCATACCTATGTTTGCTCAAGTCTAGCGTTATTACTAAACAAGAATATACTGAAAACAAAATGAGAAAAAAGTATCATATTTTTCAGTTACGATCTATTTTTGTTATATTATGAATATTTTTTCATGGATATTGAAAACCAATAACGAGGGGGGGAAATGTTTTTCTTTTTAAGAATAACGGATTTTTAACTTTTTTATCTACATTTGTCACTGTTTTCAAAACCCCTTTGAAAAACTGAAYTGAATGGGAGGGAAAGGTGACTCGTAGAAATAGAAAGGAATAGATAAAAAATAAAATGAAAATTACAATATTCAAATAAGAATGCTCTAAAATCGACACAATTAGAGAAATCACGATAGGCGTGGTGTTTGTTGAGTTTAAAAAATGATAACGTTGAAAATATCAATTTTGAAAGTTTGGCTCTTGGCTCGAACATAATAGGTCTTGAATAAACGTTGAGTATGCTAACAAAACAGTAAACAATGTCATAGTGACACAATAGAAAAAACATGCAATTATAACTAGCACAAGTACATGAAAGGCCTGAGTGTTTTTCACATGGCAAGTACTTGGGAATGTCTGTAATGGCGACTTCAATTATTCATACTATCTTTGATCTTTGAGGATAGCTAGCCAGACATTGCATGGCGTGTCCACTTGAAGGGACTCAAACAATACTATCAGTGTTTGTCACACTGCTCTGCAACATTATATAGCTCTGTGTAGTCTCTTGTAAAAGCGTAAGGGGACAAACAGTACGATACCATCACTCTGTAGCATTGCTCTGCTACAGTTATGCAGTTCTGTTTAGTACATGTGTAGTTTCCTGTAATGGTGTGTAAGGGGCAAACAGTACGATACTATCACTCTGTAGCACTGCTCTGCTACATTGTACAGTTCTGTTTAGTATGTGTAGTATCCTGTAAG